TTCAAAACTTTCATTCTCACTTTCATTTCAGATACTTTTCTTAACTTTCACATTCATTTTCATATTTTACTTCTATAGCTCAATGTATATGTAAGATAATGCAAGGTACGCGAGTCAAACATAATGTGCTCACTAGGCACTTTACGGTGCCAATCATCATCATCATAAGATGCACTCCAAGTTCTATCTTATCATTTGCACCAACAGTGCCATTCATAATGTACACGAATGTACCATAACTTTACTCAACTTCTTGGCATGCCAAATGTATCTACGACTCTCAATGCAACATACAATGTGTTTCCATATCATATTATATTCATTTACTAATCAAGCAATTCAAATCAGAATCATTTACAAATCAGAATCATTTTCCATTATAACTTGGGCAGTTCATACCTTAAAATAAATCAAATAACATTTTGAAACCATTAATTAAATATTTCATCATTAAAAATTAAGATCATTCTTTAAAATCACTTTAGAAAAATCATTTGCACATCTTTTCATAAAATATCACATAAAAATGTATTGGGTTAAATTCATACCCAAAAATAATCATAATTCCTTTATATAACATTATGGAAGAATTCTATAATTAAAATAAAATCATACTTTAAAATAATGTGAGGTTGACATATTGCAAGTCTTCCTCATTATGTGAAAGTAAGTACTGCACTCACCTTTTCCTCACTATTGAACCTTTAATACGATATTCTTTACTCAAATGCTTTGCCTTTTACTTTTGAGTCATTGGGATCACAATATTTTTCGTAATTTGTATGACATGACATATATAGCACCATTTCAACTACATGTTAGTGTTATACTAACATGATCTAGTTATGATAAAATAAATTCTATAAACGTAATCAATACTAAATTGATATAAAACTAAATCACAATTTCACATACCTTCAAGCTTTTCAACATAGCTATTCGATTCCATAAATTTTCATTTCTATCATGAATCCTCCAATTTTCAAAATCTTTGTATTTATATCACCATCTATGAATTCTTTTTAGAATTCACATCAATTTTTCCATTTAATTCACAATGGTCCTTCATCTACTTATTTAAAATAAAATACTAAAATTCCAGCATATAAAATAATATCCTAAATCTAATACCTTAACATTTAAAAACTTGCATTATCATCCTCAATTTTTCTAGCCTTTTCGAATGCAAATATCAACTTTACTAAACTTGCAATTTAATCCCAAAGAAATTCTTAAACTTGAAAATTCTGCACTCAATTAATAATTTCCAGTATTTTAATATCATACTAAAATAATATCATCACATTTGAAAACTCACAATTATGTCCCAACTTTTGAGACTATTCGAATTCCATTAACAAATTTCTCCAAATTTGCACTTTGGTTCCAAATCATTAATATAACTTTAAATCCATCATTCCATAACTAAAATTCAACATTGAATACCTAAAATTACACCATTTCTACTTAAGTCACTAACTTTTTCCATAATTACAATTTGGTCCTCAAACTTTACCAACTTTTCAAAATGGTTCAATTTCACATTCTAACATCAAATTCAACACTCTAACATTAAATTCCAGCATAGTACAATAACTATTTAATAATTGCAAATCAACCCATATTTTTTCATAACTATCGAATAGGTCCCCTAAATTTCACAAAATAAAAGATTGGTCCAAATATCTTCTAAATCTTGTAGGATCTTCCAAAAATCATTTATATTCCAAAGGAATTTTTTTCATAATTCCCCCCCAATTATTTCCTTAAAATTGAATGCTATATAGTTAGGGGTTGTTGATTTTTGCTTGGTTCAAGCATGAATTCCACTTTTAATCAATATCTGAAAGCTTCTACAATTAAACCCCTTACATAATTTAATGAAATAACAAACTTTCCATAACCCTAAGTCATGGTCGAACCTTATACATGACTTTATACTTAATTTTAATCATCATACATGCTTTAGAATTAATCTACAACATCAATAACTTAAAACTCAACCTTTAATTCATATTGTTTCATCTTCCCCTTGATAAATCCTAATCATGAAATCAATCATTCAAGCATGTTTAACATGAACTGTTTATAACAAATGATAGAGAATTTGATGTAGATTAATTCTCTATTTCACAATTTAGTCCAAAAATTTATCATGTAAGGTTAAAAAAAATATCATCTTTACCTACTATGGAGGTCACAACTTGGAGGGGGAGATGAGCTGAATTAACTTGAATTTTATTCATTAATCTCCTTAATAAACTTGGGTTTAGTTAATTAAATGAATGAAAAATTCATTTAATACGAAATTACCAAAACATGATAATTTCATCTTTACCATTAACATGACATAATTTATGAATTCATCTTGCTTACATCATCTTGCTTAAATCATCCATGAGCTCATATAAGTCACTTTTCAACTTTAACCTTGAAATTTTCAAAAACCACAAAATAGTCACAAATTTTCACAATTGCGACTTAACAAACAAAATCGACCTTAATTACACTAATTTGTGTAAACTTTCACCATTCTAAAATATGGAAATAATATTTACATATTTTTCTATCATTCTTAAAATTTTCGTGAAATTTTGACTCGATCCATTTATCCGATTCTATTTCGGACTCTACTATTGTATAACTTTTAATACAAATCCCGTATCGAAATTCGGATTCCCATGAAAATTCATATTTTAGGCCAAACTATTCATTTACGAGTCAAAATATATAACTTTTAAAAATTATAATTTTGGTCCGTAAACTTTTCCAAATTTATACTTTACAACAAAACTTTCAAAACTTGCATTTTGGTCACTATATAAATTTTGGGGTGTTATAGATAGAGCTCATAATGATGCGATGGATACAGTCTTTACAACCAATGTCCATGAAAGATTCTGACAAGAAGTCTAGAGTAATATGATCATAGGTCTTCCCGAGGTCAACATTCACAATCATCCATTGACTCTTCCCCTTCTTTTCCTTAATAGAGTGAATAACCTCATGAGTTATAAAGCTAGCTTGATTGGGGGTGATGATTCTAAGAAAAATATATTTAAATCAATTCATGGTGAACTTCATGAAAAGATTATATAGAATCATACAAAGGCTAATGAGTAGAAAATCAACGAAGGACTCAAGACTGTGAATTTTGAGGATGTGGACGAGTAAAGATTTGATGAACTCAGATTATATGGGTTGGCGATAATTCTCCAAAAAAGTTATTATTTAGGATCCTTTTACCTAGGTTGAGCTTGAACTTTAGTATCATTAGGATCATATTATGATCATATTTTTATATTTTTCATCATTTGCATCATGGGAATGAGTTGATAGAATTTGGTTGATTTTAATGTTTTATGATGTTAACTGGTATGTTGATATTATAACATTGTTTGAAGCTACAGGAGATGCAAAGCTGATGTTACAACAATTGGTGACTCAGTAGACATTTATGGAATTTTTTGGATTCTGACAGATGTCTAATACAGTTGTAAAATAGTTGTAAAATATAGGGGAAAATCATATTTTTCCTATTGGAGGATGCTTTGACTTGTTGGGTTTATAAATTGGGCATCCTTTCACACTTGGGAGCCTTTTTCTTCAACTTTTCTTCAACTCCATATTTTATCCACCATGGTAGCCTAAATTATTCATCAGGAAAGTGCACCAACAACAGTGGAGCAGTCGTGTAGCAGCAGTGATTGATCAGGGTTAAAGCTTTATTTTGGTTTTGTTACTTGAGAAAGGAAGACACTTTAATTTAGTTTAGATGTTTTATTTTTTCCATGTTATTTGGATTTGAACATAAGGTGTTAGACGAAACGTTTATTTTATGATTTTTGCTTGAAACAATATTGATGAGAGTAAATTTATGCGTATAGAGATGTATGTTGCCAATTGACTTGCTTTGTTAACTACTTGATTAATGGAGTTGGTGAGAATTGATTCTAGTTAGTTAAGTGCTTAATTGCTAAAAGGAGATTAAATTGTTAATCAATGTAAGTTGCGTAACTGTATTGCCACATCATAATCATACTATCAACAAACAAATGAAAACAACATTAATAGGTCTATCGGTCTGATTGTTTTATTGTATGCTATAAATTCTCATGCTTTCATTATTCTGATTTTTTGACTTTGCTATTTGTTAGATTACCTTTTCAACCATACATTTTCCTACACTTAGACTCTTTTGAAACAAGTTTTTCTCCCTATGGGATTTGACACTCGTAATTTTATTGTTACCACTTTATTACTTAAACGATACGTATACTTGAGTAATTGATACAACATCTTACGCAACATTAAGTTTTTGGCACCGTTATTAGGAGCAATCGATTTTACCTTAGAGTTTTTTTTATTGTTTACTTATTTATTTCTTTTTGTAGGTAGTTATTTTTTTTCTAGTTTTAATGGTTTATGTCATGAAGTGACGATGACTTACAACCATTTGATATGGAGATGGAACGGACCTTTCAAAGACGCCACAGAGAAGCTACCAGGAATCGATCATTTATGGCTAGATAAGATAGCAATGCTATGCTTCTGCTATAGCACGGTGATGATACTAAATTGCAGGCTGGCAATAGAGTTAGACAATAACAATTTTACAATATAGATGACTAAAATCGACCTATTAAATAGCATGTGGTACCAATACTCGATGATTTACATTGTGGCATAGTACAACCAATAATTAATGCTGCAAATTTTAAGTTGAAGCTGATCATGTTTCAAATGTTGCAGTCCATGGGACAATATGGTGGGTTATTTGTTAAAGATCCTCAAGGACATTTGCGAGCATTTATGGAGGTATATGATTCATTTGTTCATGAGGGAGTCCCTGGGGAAGCACTAAAACTGAAGTTGTTCCCTTACTTTCTAAAAGATAAAGCTAGAGCATGGTTGAATTCGCTGCCACCTGGTGCTATAGCATCTTGGAATGAGCTACACAAAAGTTCCTGCTACGATTCAATCCACCAAATATGAAAGCGAAGCTGCGAAATGATTTGACATATTTCAAGCAACTAGAAGATGAAAGTTTATATGAGGCTTGTGAGCATTTTAAGGATTTGATGTGTAAGTGTCCAATGCATGGATTCCCATATTGGACATAAATAGAAATAATCTATAATGGGTTAAACATGCATACTCGATTGGTGGTTGATGCTTCAGCAAATGGAGCATTACTAGACAATACATATAATGAGGCATATGATATTTTCAAAAGAATATCAAGTAATGATTATCAATACCCCAACACGAGGAACATGTTTGGCAGACGCTATATTGCAATAGCGGATTTGGATACCTTCAATTCTATTACCTCTCAAATTTCTGCATTAACAGATATGGTCAAGAAGCTACAAAAGTTGAGGGATTTATGAGGTTAAAGCTACAACTACTCTTTATTGTATTTATTGTGGAGATAATCATTATTACGAAGAATGCCCCAAAAATCCTGAATCTGTCTTCTTTGCGAGGAACTATAATGGGAATGACAATTCCTATAGCAACACCTATAATGCTAACTTTCACAACCATCCGATTCTATCTTTGCAAAGTTAAAACGTTACCAATTCACAAAAGCAATAATATAATTAGTAACAACAATACAATCTACTGCAATAATACACTCAACAACAAATGATGCCTCAGTATCAAACACAACAGCTCTATAATTATCAAGGACAATCTTCAACACAAACTACCAATCTTACATCTCTTGAAGCCTTAATGAAGGAGTACATAACAAGTCAATCAACATCACAAAGAGCTTTAGAAAGACAAGTTGGCCAAATGGTAAATGCTTTGAATAGCAGTCATCAAGGAATACTGCGCAAAGACACTGAAAAACCAAAGCCATATGGGAAAGCTCAATGCAATGAGTATTGCAAGGCTATAACAACTCAAAGTGGTCTCCACATTGGGAAACATACTGAGGCCCCTAAGAGATTATTAATGAAGAGTTACAAAGCTTGACAAAGGCAAAAGCAAGGAAAGCAGGGTAGTGTAGCAATTTTAGACCATTGCCAGCAGCAATGCCTTTCACACTGCTAGATGTCTCTCCAGTGCCAATGCCCCACCACAATCCAAGGCCTCCACCTTCATTTTCTCAACAATTCTAGAAAAGCAAGGAGGACAAATAATTTAGAAAAATCATTGATGTGCTATGACAATTTTACGTTAATATACCATTGTTGGAAGCATTAGAGGAAATGCCAAACTATGTTACATTTATGAAGCATGTTCTTTCCAAGAAAACTAGAATTGGTTATTTTGAGACCGTTGCACTCACTGAATGGTGTAGCGCCATTGTCACGAACAAATTGTCCTGAAAGTTAAAGGATCCAGGGAGTTTTACTATTCTTTGTACTATTGGCAATCAATATATAGGTAGAGTTTTATGTGGCTTTGGCTCCAGCATTAACATAATACCATTGTCCATTTTCAGGAAACTTGGGATTGGTAAAGCACAACCCACAATGGTTACACTTCAAATTACTGATCAACCCACTGTCCATTCCGAAGATAAGATTGACAATGTGCTAATACAAGTGGACAAATTTATCTATCTAGTGGATTTCATTGTCTTAGTCTGTGAAGCTGACAAAAAGATGCTCATAATACCTGGGAGACCATTCCTTGCTACTGGGCGAAAATTAATTGATGTTGAAAAAGAGAACTCACATTGGGTTTTAATGACCAATAAATTACATTCATTGTGTTCAACCCATTGCCATGTGATTAAGAAGATGAATGCCGTATTGTTTACATTGTTGAAGCAATAACACAAGAGCAATTAGATGAATGTGGGAACGTTGAAGAACTCTTTAATATTGTTGCGACAAAAGAAGACTCAAAAGAGCCAAAGGGGAGCCAATGCTTCTACATTGATCCTGGAATCAACAGTAGTTCTGCACTGCTAATGTTGGCTACAAAGTCGCAGCATGACCGCCTGAGCAAAACTACAATTGCTGATGACACAACAACTAAGGCGAAAAGGAAGGTTTCACAAGGCTTTGTCGATGAAGCCTCTCATCTAAAAATTCACCCCATTAAGCTGTAACATCTTTATACTTTCAATGAAGAAGTGTGCTTTATGACTGATTCTAACAAGCAAGAGTTTTACTTTGAACAATGTTTTGATCCCACAAGTGCAAAGGACTTAGAGCATCACGATTATGCCACAACAACCTTCGATAAGAAAAAAGAGATATTAATCTATTGGGATCCAGGAGAAGTTACAACAAAACTTCAATCTCACTTTATGAAATAATTTTTTGCATGCTTTCAATAAGTCATTTATGACATTAGATTAGATTTTTCATTTATTAGTTATACTTAATGCTTTTACATCGAGTTTTCTTTTCAGGTAATGTTCACACATTGATCACCATATCATCCTTAATTCGTACTATTATTGTTGTTTTTGCTTCAAAGTATTAGTTGGAGTTCCAAATCATCATTGTTACCTATCATATTCTTGAATTCCAGACTGTCATTGCTACACAATATACCCAACTCACAAGGAGAGTATTGTTGTCCCCATTACACTCTGCATTTAATTTCCCCCCTTTATTTATATGCATTGAGGACAATGCATCCCTTAGGTTTGGGGGTTTGTTGTCTAGTTTATGTCTTGTGTGTTTAGTTTATTTATTATGTCATGTTTATTTTTAGAATGAATGTTGTTTAATATTAATTGCAGGATTTTAGCATTTTGTTTCAACATATAGGAAATGCATTTATGATGTTACATGATTAATATTAGGAAATCAATGAATTTTATTTTCCTTTAGGAAATTTTGATGATGCCCAATGATGAAAAATCTTATACTGTGAAATACTAGGGTGATGTTGTAGAGACTTAGTAGAATTAGAGTTCATGGAAACTTCTTAATACTATAAGTGTATGTTCTCAATACTTAGAGATGTTAGAAATTTTTTAACTTTAAATCTCATATCTATATTAGATATTGCAGTTGATTTTGTCAAAAAAAAAAAGAAAAATAAAATAAAGAACGAACGAAAAAAAGAAAAACAATTTAGGAATAAGTTGTAAAAGCTGGTAATAGCTCTAACATAGTCTTAGGGAATAAGTTGGAATGATCCAACATGGATCTAGACATATTGTTGTAGCATTGAAAATCTTTAAATAAGTAGGATCATTTTTTTCTAACTTGGCCAAGTATTGATTGGATACACTTAACTTGCACACTACTACACTATGAATTCTGAATTTGGTAAGTTGAAATTGCATTATTTGATTTAAGATTATATATGATGTATGCACTGCTGCAACAGTTCTCCGAGGGCTAAAAAATTAAAATTGAAGAAAATTGTTGATTAGTTTCATGATATGTTTTTTCTGTGGTATTGCTTTTAGTTTTAGTAGTCATGTATATTATTACTTGAGGACAAATAAACACAAAGGTTTGGGGGTGTGATAACTCTCCGAAAGAGTTATCATTTAATATCTTTTTACCTAGGTTGAGCTTGAACTTTAGTATCATTAGGGTCATATTAGGATCATTATAGGATCATGTTTATATATTTTTTTTCATAAGTTACATTATGGGAGTGAGATGGAATTTGGGTTGATTTTAATGTTTTATGCTATAAACTAGTATACTGATATTGTACCATTGCTTGAACCTACAAAGGATGTTGAGCGGATGCTGCAGCAACTGGTGACTCAACTTATAATTATGGAATTTTTTTAGATTCAGACAGTTGTCCAATACAGTTGTAAAATGGCTAGAAAATATAGGAAAAATCATTTTTTTCCTTTTAGATGATGTTTTGACTTGTTGGGCTTATAAATAGGGTCTTCTTTCACAGTTGGTAGAGTTCTTCTTCAACCTTTCTTCACTTTCATATTTGATCTACCATGGCTGCCTAAACCATTCGCCGGGGGAGTGCACCAGCATCAGTGGAGCAGCCTTGTAGTAGCGGTCATCGATCGAGATTCAAGCTTTATTTTGGTTTCGTTACTTGAGAAAGGGATATACTTTAATTTAGTTTGGAGTAGGTGAGAATTGATTAATGGAGTAGGTGAGAATTGATTCTAGTTAATTAAGTGTTTACTTGTTGAAAAAATATTAAATTTTTAATCATTGCAAGTTGCATAACTGTATTGCCACATCATAATCATACTATCAACAACCAAATGACAACAACCTTTATTCGTCCATCGGTCTGATTATTTTACTATCTGTTGCAAAATTTTCCTGCTTTCATTATTCTAATTTTCAACTTTGCTATTTTTTAGATTACCATTTCAACCATACATTTTCCTATACTTAGACTCTTTTGTAAACAAGTTTTGCTCCCTGTGGGATTCGACACTTATAACTTTATTGTTACTACTTTATTACTTGAACGATATGTATACTTGCGTAATTGCTACAACATCTTACGTAACATTAGTTGACCATCAAAAACAGCCTTAACCCTAATCAAAACAGAACTCCTAAAGGTTTCCATTGATTTTGCAAGCATACATGCCATTAGTGCATGGAGATTTAAGCGAATTCACCTCAAATAAAGCATGTCTGATTTTCTTATCATAAATAGATGCATCAAGGGATTGAATATCTAAACCAATAAGACGGGGAAATGGCCATTTGATCGGAAAATTACTTTTACGCCTTCCATCACCTCGGTAGAGCTTAGTAAAAAAATTAGTAGCTTTAGTGCGAAGGTCATCGTAACACTAATTTTCATCTCTTACAAGGAGAACTTGAATAAGATTGGTTTTGCAACAGATGAGAGCATGATTATGGAAATATTTAGTATTATGTTCACCTTCTAAGATCCAAGTCTTGCTAGATTTTTGCTTCCACAGAGCTCTTCCTGATCAAGGATTTCCTTTAGTTTAGTATGGATTCTAAGCTCATCATCAAGTAGGTTATCATTTCCGTAATTATCCTTGGAAGCTTGAATATTAGCAAGAGGTTTTTCTTTTCCTAGACAAATGTACGAAGAAAGTTTTATTCGAATATTTGAAGGAGTCAAAAAGGGTAAAAAACGAGCGATGGATTTTACCGTCTAAGGTCTAATTCTCCTAGATGACTCGGATGCTTTATTCAGCTAACC